TAAGGAACGTCTGAACCCGTGACAAGTCTGCCCAGGTCTTGACGGCGACTGACTTCAACCTTTATTGCCAATAGAACTTGGCCATTTACTTGATTCCCTAACTTATTACAGCGTAGGAAGTACTTGAATAAATACTTCTAGGCATATAGATATTATATTAGAAAGCCATTTTATGGGCTTTTCAGCCATTCTACAGTTTGCGACTGGCTATCCTAAAAAGAATATCCAAAACACAGCGGAGTGTTCTTACATATAACACCTCTAGCACCTTATGCCAACTAGATCAGATTATTGAAGTCTTACGTCGTCAGGGATAGAGGCCGCATAAGCAGCCGCACCGCCGGCGTAGATTTATCTGCCTAGGGGACATGAATTGGAAGTAAAGTGTTATAAAAGCAGCCGGAAAGGCGACATGAATTTCAAATTGAAGAGGCCAGGAAAGACAAACTAGAGGGAGAAAAGAACTAAAAGCGCCAGTCATCTCGCCGGTAACACCTCTAGGTACGTATGCTAGAGTTGACATCTCGATTTGGTAAAAGATGTGAACATATAAAAAGCTCATAGAACATGAGGAAAGAAAGCCTATCCTGAATTTGGCGCCGGAGCTAAAGGCGAGGAGAGGTGAATATGGGTAGATGTGACGGTAGGTGGTGGATAGATATATAGAGAGAGACAGAGAGAGAGTAAAAAAGGGCTAAAAGAGACAAGTCCAAAGCGAAAGAAAGTGTGTTGCATTGGGGATTTGTAGTCCCAGAAAAGAATCTCATATCGAGCGTAATTCATAGCAAATTGAAAATGACCATTAGATATGATCTTCAATTTCAAATGGACGTCCATTTGAGATACCAGCGATCCTGCGCCAGCAGAGTCGAGCAGTGTCTTGCGTCTAGCTCGAACGTCAGGTGTTCCCAGAACACACCGAATGGAAGGAAAAGCCGCAGTACCAACAACCCAAGAGGCAAATGCTTCACATGACAATACAGCTGCTACCGCTCTGGGCTCGCCTGCGTCTCCCGCCAAGAGCAGAGATGGCACCTACGCCATAAGCATCGTTCTCATCTTCGTCTTCATTGTACAGACGCTCAGCTTCACGGGCTCGACGTCGACGTCGGCGAGCACCAGCACCAGCGGCGCCAGCCTCCTCGGTGGCCACCATGTACTCAGCCCATTTCCGGTCCAGCCGGGATGCAGCGGCGAGATCGCCGCGCAGGACACGTTTCGTGTGTTCATCGACGGTCATCTGCCAGCCGTAGAAACATTTGAGCTGGATGATTTCGTTGGGATACGTGGGCGCTGGGGATGGGGAAGGTGAGGAGGCTGGGGTGACGAAGGTATTTGTCGCCGGGGAGGAGCCAGCGTCGGATGTTTGTGTAACTGTCACCACTGTTGAAACGGGTTTGCGGGAGGCCCGCGGGACGTACGCGTTGCTGGAAAGGACTTCCCTGACCCCTGCCCAGGTGATGTTGGCGCAGTCGAATATCATGAGTCGCAGTCCGACTTTAGGGACCTCGTCGCTGTACCCGCGGCGGCGGATGCGGAAGCTGGCTTCCATCAAGGTCAGATCCGATACTCTGGTGTTGTCCATTTCGACGGATCGGAGTTTCGGGCAGTTCTTCATTACTCGGAGCATCCCTGTGTCGCTGAGACTCTCGCAGTAGCTGATATTCAAGTGTTCCAATTGTTGGGCACATGGAGATTCGGCCAGTTGCACCAGGGTGATGTTTGTCAAATTCTCCAAATCCTCCAATTCCAAATGCGACAGTTTTGGCGTTGTGCTAACGACGTCCATGACAGATTCATCGGTCAGATCGGAGCACTGAGAAATTTGCAGGCCCTCCAAGTCTGGAACGTTATGTGCCAAGCTTTTCAATCCATCGTCGCTCACTTCAGGGCAATTATGAAGGTCCAAATGACGGAATTTTCGAGGTGGAACGATAGGCCGATCGGTCAGAATATCCATACTGGGGTTCTCGCCATGGATCAGCATCTTCAGGCTGCGATCTGTCAGGTCGGTACGACTCATGATCAAGCGATCCAAAGTATTGCGCTCGAACAAAGCCAAAGTAAATTTCTCATCCTTAAATCCGCGGATTTCGCTGGCGCGAAGATCCTTCAACCGCTCACAGGACTGGACAATCCGAAGCAGACCGGTGGTATCAACATGATTGCACCAAGAAACATTCAATGTCTCAAGTTGCGGACAAGACCGTGCAATGACCTTCATGGCTGAGTTTGTGACACTAACCAGACCCGAGAGATTGATGTATTCCAAACGGGAATTACGAAGGAGAAAAGAGTAGATGGAGGCTTTGTCGATACGACAACCCTCAAGCGAGAATTTGACGACATTCCGGCACAGATCGGAAATGCGTTCTCCGTCCGAGGACCATTTCTCATGCATCTGAACGCAGCCTCGGAGATTGAGGTCTCGGACAAACGGACCGCCAGAAGTGATAAGCTTGACCAAAACATCGCTCGGGATCTTAGAGTAGTACTCGGTTGTATCGACCTTGGACCATAATTGTCCGTCGTAGCACATCTTATTCCACATTTTGGACACAGAGGAGCAGCAGACGATTTCTTGCGGGGTGAGGTACTGGAAGATTTCTATCTTAAGCTCTTGTGGCATATCGCCCCAGAAATCAAGAGATCTGGCCGGCTGGGATTCTGGAAGGGTTACCTCCTCTTCCACCTTCACACCGACCGGTGTCGCAGTGCGGGGCGATCCACGCGATGCCGGTCTCACATCGAAGGGCAAAGGTACTGTGCGAGGCGAAGTGAAACCAGGGCCATCAGTGTCCATCAAACGGATGCGAGCGTTTGTGCCCTGGGGTTCGCCGGGGGAACTAGAACAACCGGGAGTAGCAGGCCGAGCATTGAGTCCGCCATAGAGCTGGGAGGAGCTTCCATTGCCTACACAGGGCGAGTAGGAAGTCGACGATAGCGAAACACAAGAGAGAGAAGCCTTATTGTCTCGGCGATAGCCAGTAGTTGATGAGGAACGTCCGCGTCTGGTTAGTGTCGGGCTGGACGACATTCGTTGGAGACTCTGCAGTAGCTTCTGACGACCCTTGAGTTTCGGCGGTTGCTCCAATGGGATCTGGCCTGCCGAATTGGTCGGACTATTCGGAGACATACTCCCCGGAGAGGGCAGGATCTCATCGGATGCTTGGGAGGTCATTTTGGCGACTTAATTCAGTCTCTAGCACTATTCTCTGGCCAGTACTATCTTGTCACGTCTTCCGGAGGGTGTCGGCACGGTACGGAGTATCACACGAGGGAGAATAACGACGGAGGACAGTGGAAACGGATATAGCGACGGGCGCGCAGTCACCGGAAGCTCTTAGATGAGCATAGTGCTAGAACTCTGCGATGACCGGTCTTTTAGGTATCGATCAGCACTTGGAGGAATAGAGGAACAGAGAGAGGGAAATGATCAGAATGTCGGTGGGGAAAATCACGTTGACCGTTATTGTTCTACTCGGGGACCACAGCCAGAGAACCGTGGAACAGCTTTCGGCAAAGATGCCGCACAAAAGCCTGAGAGAACCGAGACCGAGTAGAAGATACAGATGATGGGGGAAGTTGAGAAAGGGAGAGAAAGATATGCAAAGAGAAACAAGAAATGGCGGAATGCAGAGCGGAAGGGAATGCGATACATCTACTAAACCTCGCACTGGCCCAACGATCACATAGCAGACGTTGTACTACACAAGTACTCCCCTCTACGTTATCTGCTTATCGCTCCCCACCTGGTAGTACCGGTATATACATATGCATGTACTTTTAAATATGTTTTTCTTATTGCTTTCTATCTTCTTCTTGGGTAACCCTGGAGTATATTGCACTGATTGTCATGTACGAGATGGTGTTCTGGCACAGACCGTCTGATGTGAGACCAAAGCCCACACTTGGCTGACATCTTGAGTCGAAGAAACTTGGAACAAACAGATTCGACCCTCCAGAACCCACTCAAGGCACCGATCCAGGGACATCCCGGAGGCAAGTTGCCAGATTCATTTTCGCCTCTTTTGGACTATTTTCGCTGGTGGGGCATGTGCGGGGGAAGACACTTAATCCGTGGTACGAGGGCAAATAAACCATGGAATGCAACATGCCATATCCATGTCTTGTATTTTATGTTTAATATTTAATTTTTATCTTTTTGTTTCGTTTCTGAGGTCAAGGCACTGAGTTTCAGCGTAACAACAGAATCCCCAGTTGCATTGAATTGGAGATTCCAACTTCTTAACGTTGGCATATGAAGTGGAGATTCGCCCATGATGATACGGACTAAGCCACACTAGACTGGGCATTGCCAAGGACTACACCACTAGAACGTATGCTAAATGTTCCCCCGCAATTCCAATCAAAGCCGTACTGTTGTATGTAGGTGATCGAATCCGAACTTATCATAACAAACTTCGAGGCTTTCACAATCCGCTATAGTACTATCACTTGATAGCAATTAGGATGGTCCTCGCCGAGTCTAGTGTTAGAATTTCCATCGCCTGCACTTGTAGCTTCTCGGCCTCCTCCCATAGGCCCTGCTTTATATACGTCACAGAATAACACTACTGACAAGAAGCTCAACATCGCCCCAAGATGGACATAAGAGGTGCTTCTCATTTTGTCAACTCTCCTAGCGGATTTCTCTTAGCACGTCATAACTCATCTGTAGTGGCCTCTTGTTTGGGACTACAAATGTCCATATCTCTTCTAAGAGAGTGTTCATGATCATTTAGGCTTTACGAAGGGATAGCGTGTGATCGGATCCGTCTTATCCAACTAGTACACCATTTCATAGGCGGACTTGCGGTCTTGCCGACCGCGTTTGACGATCGCACAGGGAGAGAGCAACAGCAAGTTCCGGCTTGCTGGATCTCAACCGGGGTATTTTTCCGTATACATGTGGGATTGTCATGCGATCTGGATTAAATAGAAACCGCTACCAAGACGTATCAATTTTCGCAGGTTGTCATGATTTTAACTAGCCACACCTAGAATCTGCGAAGCAATAGGTTGGTTGGTGAGGCCTGAAGCCAGGCAAAAGTGGACAGAGCGTCGCCGTAGCAGCCACCCGCGTTGATATTCGCTCCTTTGTTTAAAAGAAGTTTGACAATCCCTTGATGGCCTCTCGCTAAGGCGAGCTGGAGAGCGTCGCCGTAGAGGCCACCCCGCGCGTTGATATCCGCTCCTTTATCTAAAAGAAGTTTGATAATCTCTTGGTGGCCTTTTGCTGAGGCGAGCTGGAGAGCGTTGCTGTACTTGCCGCCCTGCGTATTGACATCCGCTCCTTTGTCTAAAAGAAGTTTGACAATCTCTTTACGGCCTGTCGCTGAGGCGGCCTGGAGAGCGTTGCTGTACTCGCCGCCCTGCGCATTGACATCTGCTCCCTTGCCAATAAGATCTCGTGCTGGCTCTACGAGCCCAACAAGGCAAGCATAGTAGAGCCTGGAACCTCGCGGAGGACCAGGGTCATAGTCCCAACTCCTATCAGCCTGATACAAACGAGCCCATCGTTGGAATGTTGCTTCCTTTTCTAGGAACCTGACTATCACTCGAACTATATCTTCGGAAGCCTGAGCCAACGAAGCATGGTCTGTCAAAAGTTCCGCCGCGCACCTTGCCATCGGAAAATCCCGCTTGATCTCTCTGTTGCTACCAGCGATGTCCGTAAGATAAGTCAAGCACGTCCTCGTGATGGAAACACTGGCAATCGTCATCTTGAATTGATTCTCACCGAGAAGGTACTCTTTGACGGAAAAGTGGGCAAGATGTAGCTCTTTACTACCGGTAGCGTGAACGACTGTCACTAAGCTGGGACAGTAATCCATAACATCAATGTCGTAAAACAGTCGACGCTTGATGTCAAACCCTGGCGACTCGTTTTCGATCTGCGTCGCTATTACTTCTTTAGCCTCGGCCAGCTTAAGAGGTCGCTTGGAGTGCACTAGGAATTGTAGGAGGCGTATTGCGTCATTTTTTTAGCTCCGTCGGTATGCTTGCAAGCATACACCGGTATGTCTCATTTAGATCCAGCGGCAAAGATGTGAGAGCCTCCTCCATAGCTGCCTCGTGACGACATCGAGCCAGGCTGTCCAATTGACAGAACGCCCACCTGAACCTAAGTAGGGCGTCAGCAAGCCATCAGCATATCGATCGACGCAGCAATATCTCACATCCCGTCGGCCCCGTCGCCAATCTTCCTCCGGATCCCCTTAAGAAGATCCTGGGACAAGGGCTTCTCTGTAAAATCACGCCGTTAAGCAAGTTGTGCTATGACCCAAGATCGGACATCAGAGTTGACAGCATGCTTATCCAGCGGTAGGCAGTTTTGCTCTCCTATTGAAGGGGGAATGTGGCGCAGAAACTCGGATTCAGGTCGACTGGTATAAAGCAGCTGGACATGGACCAACTCTGGCCTAGACACCACGTCCTTGATCCACAGGAGGACATTATCCCTTGGTTTCGATTCATCTAATGCGTCCAGAATGATAGAGACCTTTCTCTGAACTACGAGCATCTTGAAAACAATATCCGAGAGCGCCTTTGTCGCAGGTTGGTCGCTGCCATTCTGGTGTGCTTGAAATAAAGCATCAAGATGAATGGCAGAGCCGACCCCGCCTTGGTAAAGTTGGAAAGCAAGCGACCGCAACATGCCATCCAATGTCTGCTTTGTGGTGTCGCTAAAGTCAAAGAAGAAGCTGAGGGTTAGACCGTCGTTTCCCTTCGCGAGATGGTCAAGCACAGTCGCACTGAGAACCGTCTTTCCACATCCCGCAAGCCCGTGCAGCCATAAATGTCGACGTAAATCCGAGTGCCACGACTCGAAGACGGGGTTTTCCAGGAGCCACGCGCCTGTCCCCTCATGGCGGAGCGTCCTCGCGTGGTTGGCATTTGTAGACGGATCCGGGGGACAAAGCCAGCGCTTGATATTATCGGCACGAAGATCAGACCTGATGGAATCAGTTGCAACTTTCGTTGCAACTGTCGTCTGCTGCACGCTATCAATCTTTCGTTGAACTACTCGCAGTCAGGACGTTTGCCAATTTCAAATGTAATTCGGTTCGTGTATTTGCTAGTCTAGCTAGTGAATGAAACAAGAACTAACCTAACTGAAGCACTTCCAGTGCCCTCTTGGTCTCTTTGACCTCCGCAGCCGGAACGTACGCCAGAAGCTCCTTTGTATACGCAGCGGCGGTTGCCGAGGCGTAGCGTTGCCATCGATCGTTCTTGTGAGAATCGGCGTAGTCGCAGATCCCTCGGATCACAAGACAGGGAAAGTGGTTCATCAGCCCAGCCGCTTCCATCTCAAGGCAGATGCAATCCTCGCCGAGGTCAGCAACAATCCGATCGCGAGCAGCAGCGTCTTTGACGAGTGTGTTGCCGGATGCGATGGTCCCATAGTGGATCTCGGGGTTAGTAGTGTCTCGAGTATCGCGTTGAACCTCATCAGCCGTGTAACAGCCCCGACAGTCTGGGCCGGGGATGTGGTCGCATAGAGCTTTGAACAGGCGGTCGTTGTCGAAACCCTGGTGAGTATAGCCAGGATTCTGCTTGGATCTCTTGCCCTTCGGGTTCTTCTCCAGCATTTCTTGAAGGAAACAGGGAACCTTGGAGTCTTTCCGCTCGTGGTAGGCCTGGATTCTGCTAAGCGCATTAAGGAGGACCGTCGGAGGCCGTCCGAGGAAGCCTTTGCGCTCACGCTTGTCACCAGACTTTGCCTTGATCAAGTCGTACTGGCAGACGCCACCTGTGGTCCCACAGGGCTTTCAGTCTGATCATTTCAGACGAAACTTCTCGTTCGACTTTCTAATTTCTCTCTTTTACCTATACAGCAAGGGAGACTATTAGCCACGTCTGAGATAGACATCAAGGAACATGGGGCTCCTCCGTCAACGTTATCCGATCCAGAACCCCAACCCAAACCAGCAACAGCGACGAAACCATAAAAGAAGCAGCCTTCACTGCAGTCGTCTGCGCCGCTCAATTAATGACCCAAGCCGGTCTCTTCCCTGTCAATAGCCCCACTCCACTATATCGGTAAAAGCTTCAATATAACACCCCGAGATCTGACCTTGGCCTCAGCAGCCTACAGTCTAATAGTCGGAAAATTCATCCTCGTCTTAGGCAGGCTGGGCGATACATACGGTCACAGACTCATCTTTATAATTGGGTTTACCTGGTTTAGTGTATAGTCTCTTCTTGGCGGGTTTGCCGTATAGTCAAATCAGATCTTCTTCGACTGTTGTCGTGCCTTTCAGGGCATTTACACCTTTCAAACGCATTCGAACTTTAAAATCAATTGACCTGACAACTTCGTCGTTATTTCCAGCTTCACCTTCCCTTTCTACGCTTTCTTATATCATCCCCCTTTCACGCTCATCATCGCCAAAATGGAGTTCCTTCCCAGGCTGGATGGTGAAACGATCAAAACGTACCTCTCGAACCCTCCTGAGTCCAACCTTTACTCCCCTAAGAACTGGGTCATAACTAAAAAGCCGAGTGAGGACGTTCAGCCGGCCACCCCACAGGATTTCACCGATGGCGTGGCCCACGCATACACCGCTGCGAAATATGGATGTCGCGGTTCAGGGCCTGGGAACGATGGCACTCCCGCCTTCATGCGTATCTATAGACAAATTTCTCTAACTGGCACTGAAGGTGAAAGCCCGAGCGTTTGCCAGAAGCAGGCTACCGAAAGACATGGACATATCAAGCTGTCAGCCTTAAAAGCTCTCACAGAGGGAGGAAGCGGTGCTGCCCTAAGCTCCTTGGATATCGAATAAGCAAGCAAGGCGATCACGACGTTTTTCCTGGTTGATATATCATCTACCTTGTGTGGGAAAGGGTTAACGGAGATCCCATTGATATCGAGTGGTTCTGGGGCCTTTCCCGCGACCAGCGAGATGTTGTCCGTGCCAAATTCAAAACGGTCTACGAGTTTGTTGCCAAACGTCCCGATCATGATCATGATCACATTCTAAGTTCTTAGAGCTGATTGAAATTAGGGACATTCTTCGTTGTGGGTACGGGCCTGTCATGGGGAACACGTCAAACATCATCTTCGACGAAAGTTCAAAAGACCTGTATGTTATACCCTGTCCCTTGCAGTCTAATGCTAATGACACGAAGAAAAATCTCCGGCTTCCACGGAGCTGTCGAAGTCTAAGACACAGAGTGGGATGATTACAACTACGTTATGTTTGTTTGGCCTGTCTTGACCTCCTCGAGAAGTATTAAGGATCTTCCCAACATTTTGAAGGATGTCATACCTGACAGGAAGCTGGAGATGGCGAGGAAGAGTCCGGCACACCTGGAATGAATCTAGCGAAGGACCTCGAAATTGATAACAAGGACCGGAGATGATAAGGAAGAATGTCTCTCGATTGTTTATTGCTCAGGTACTAATTTCTGCGCCAATCAGGTGTTGTCCATTGGCCTCGGAATACCTCCAGGGCTGTCTGACTATCGCACGTAGGTCTGCCCTCTTCTCTAGGTCACATAAAGAGATATGCAAAGGTATCGCAAAGTCAAATGCCATGAAAAGGGGTGGGGAAAAAAAGCTTAATAAAGTAAACCCCTGATAAAAAAATAGACAAATCATGCGTCGATGTTCATAATCATCATCCATCAACCAGAAGAGCCGACACTCGTTCCACACCCGACAGTTGCCCGAAAATTTTTGCATCCATCATCAAAACATAATCAACTTTGTGGGGTATCGCGTTATTTTGTTATCTTTTGTTATTCTTTTTCAGTAAGTAAAAGGGAGAGGAGAAGGAAGAGTGGTATGAGATTGGATTCAAGCCCCCACCATCCAAGGGTGTTCAAGCACTTCAGTGATTGTGAGCCGGTTATCAACGTCGCGATCGAGCATTGTGCGGAGAAGGTCAATGCAATCTTCCGAGAAAGGAAGGAAGGGAATTCGGAGGGGGTGGTCGAGGATCTCATCGACGTTGTAGAATGGGTTCTCTTTGTATACGATTGTGTAAAGGAGAATGCCTAGAGCCCAGATGTCCTGTTCCTTGCCTCGATATGACCTGCCCTGTAGAACCTCGGGCGCGGCATAGTCTAACACATATAGTCAGCATCTTAACCCCACGCATCAAAGAGAAAGGGAATCTTACCAATAGTTCCCACAAAGACATCAAACGGCCCATTTTTGATGTAGGCCGCACTCCCAAAGTCAATCAACTTGATCCGTCCCTCTCCATCAAGAACCACATTTTCATCCTTGATGTCACGATGTACTACCAGTGCTTTGGTATGTAAATGATTGACGGCGCTCGCAACCTGTTTGAAGATGTTTCGGCACTCCGACTCGTCCATGTTGGCCTTGAGCTCGATATAATCGAACAGGTCCATTCCCGGGAGCCCATGAGGGGTCATTTCAATGTAATAGTTGATATCGTCTTCGAAGAAACCTTCCATCTCAACAATGTTAGGGTGCTTGAGCCCATCCCGCCGGAGGAAGTCTAGAACATGGATCTCCAGTGGCACAGTGCCGAGTCGCCGATCACGAGTCCACGTATCCACTAGGATCCGCTTCTTGGTGACAAATTTCAACACCATTTTCTTGCTAGGCTGCTTCTTTAAACGTGCCAATTTGACTTGGCCGTAGGATCCTTGTCCCATCTCCTCGAGAATGACGTAGTCGTTGATCGTTCGTTTCGCCGGAGGTTCGTTCTTCGCATTGGTAGTCGAAACCTGAGGAACGGGCTGCGCGGGACGAGCGGTAAGAGGCTCAGAGGCAGCTTCACTGAGTTGTTGACTGAGGGTTGACGTCGGGGTTTGGATCTCCACAGAAGTCTTGTGATTTTCCGCAGTCTGGGTAGCAGCGCCGGCGTCTGACGGGCGATCTGAATCTGGATAATGTGTTGGCGAGGTAGGCTTAGAGCTTGGTGCAGATGATGGCGAGAGGCCAGCAGCGGGTCCAGCAGCGTGGAGCTGTCTCGAGTAGGTTATCCATAAAGCATAGACCAACTCCGTGACTGCAATGGTATCATCACTGTCATCAGAATCGGTGTTGCGATCGCTGCTTTTCTCTGCCTTATCCTTTGAGAACAAGGTGCCGCTCTTAACCACGCGCAGTTGAATGTCCACGACAATAGTCGAGCCATCCCGATGTTTCGCAAGCAAGCCACTTGGCTCTGTAAACACAGAGGCGGCATTTGCTTTTCCATCGCGGAGAATAGACAGTGTCCGTGCCCGTCGGAAGCTGTGTTCGGGTATGACAATACCATCAACCAGGGGCACATTGTCCTCCTCGGTCAGAACGTCTAGAATCTCATCGAAATCAGGTACTAGTTGGGTGATGTGGAGTCCCTCTGGTCTTTCTTGACCGAATAGGACCGAAGAGAACACCGAGTTGGAGCTGATCACGTTCAATGACGAGGACGAGAGCACCATCATGCCTGCGACATGAGGGAAGCTGGAGACTTGCAGAGTGCGATCCCCTTCTCCTTTGCCGACAGCAACGGGAATACAAACGCCAGCCGTGGTGCGGGCGGCGAAGTGCTTCAGCTCCACGATTTTAGCCAATCCCTTCTCGAGTGATGTCTCAAGAGATTCCGATGGCAAACAGGGTAAAAGGTCGGTGATCGATTGGCCTTTTTGGACGACAGATGGGCCCCAGATCTTTTCCACTGCACCTTTGGCACACACGACGTTCCATAAATCGTCGCACTGAATGGAGGCAATATTCTCCGTGATCTCTTCCAGGACCCAGATCAGGCCACCACGTTTTTCCATAACCCAGACGCTAGCGGATCCTCGTGACCCATTGCGCTTCTGAATCGGGACAACATCGCCGCACAGCAAGACTCCGCGTGACTTATTGGCTGGGTGGTTGTTGTTTTGGGTGTTTCTCGTGCTGGAGCCATAACCATCATCAGTTTGCGCTCTCCGGGACTTTTCTCGTGAAGATGGTTTGCTGAGAAGTTGTGCTGTGACTCCATTGCCAAGACCTCGGAACTTGGGATTGACAGCAGAGATGTTAGCTCTTTCGGGCTGAAGTGGCATGCGAGCAGCGGCGTCAGTGCTGGGATCTCGAAGTTTGGCCTTGAGCCATTCCCGGTGTTCCTTCTGTACGACCTCCAGGATGCTGAGGCGGCGAACTTCGGACTGAAGAACCCCAAAGATGAGACATGACAGATCATTAGCGGCCAGAATGGTCCATGGTTCCTTGGCTTCGGTCCTGAACACGGCTTGGGAAGCCGGGGTCCATTTGCTGCTATGCGCGTGGGGGGCGGGGATCTGGAATCCCAATCCAGCAGTCGAGGAGTTAAGCGATGCGAAGGGATCCGCAGAAGAGGTGTATGGTTGTGCTAGAGTTTCCATCAGCTTGCTCCTGACAGAGACAGAGCATAGGTCCGTGTATGTACGTTTTAAGCTTACGCGCCTGGACGTAGGTGCAGAGACCAGGTCCCGCCTTTGGTTGGAGATACTATCGCTGGGCACCGGGCTCAACAATTGGGAGCCGTCAGAGGGATGTGAACCGGAGGGGATGGAATCCCGGGCGCCGTCTCGGGTGCTGACCGGAGAGGAATCGGCATCTGAAAAGGCCTTCTCAAAGATATTGTCGCCATTAATCTCTGCGGGTCCTGTGACGGGTCCCCGGTTTTGGAATTGGTGTTCCTGGGTTTCAAGCATATTTGCTCGGGCCAGAAGCTCCATCATACCTTGCATCTCTGTGTCCCCACTGGCGTTTGCTTGTGCATTGGCGATCGCGGCATTGCTTGCGGCCCATCCCATCCGATCGCGCATGAAATCAATAGACCTCTTGAGAATGTTTTGACGGCTGTGGAGAAATTCTTCCGACTGTTGGGCAAAGGAAAATGAGTGTAGCGATTCCAGTGGAAACCGGTGTAGGTCTTCTAGATCCGTGAAACTTGGGTTCGACAAGTGACCGGTGTGAGCTCGAGATGATGAGCGCGAGCGGGGAGAACGAGCGGGCCGCTGGCTTGGTATGGGAGCTAGCGATAGCGATGAGGTAGACATGTTTGGAAGGGTCAGTACTCGTGAAGGTTGGTTTTGGCGTATACGATCCAGCCCAGATGGACCAATTCCATGGTCGTTTTCGAATAACGGGGATCTATTGAAATACAGGAAGTGTCAACGCTATGCTAAGAAGTCGAAGGATATTGTCGCTGACCTGGACAGAGGGTCATATCCCGAAGAAACACTGCCCGCGGAGCTCCTGAGGCGATCTGTCTGTAAAGAAAGGTTGTGCAGTCCGGACTCGGATTCGGGCGACTCAGAGAGGGGTCCTAACGGCGACGAAAGAGGACTCGGCCCGCCTAAATTTTGATCAGCGAGATTCACCTAGCTTATTATCAACTCAATCGGCGCGTCTCGGAGTTTCCATTCCACGGGCCTTGCAAGGAAATGTGATGCTTTCGAATGATCTGACAGTTGATCTCCGCGGTCAGATGGATACCTGAGCATGCGCTAGCGGGTGACCGTGATCGCCTGGGAGAAAATTGATTCGCGCCCTGGTTGCTTCAAAAGCCCTTCTTTTCGGGTGCTCGATGAGTCGTAACCTCAATCTGTGTATGACGATGACCTGTTTCTTCCCTCACCTCCACTAGTTCCCCAAGGCCCATGAAATGTGAAACAAAGACTAAGTGATCAACACAGAAAAAAAAAGCATGTGCGCATGACTGACCATCATGGTTGTAAGCCGACCCCATCCCCGAGGTCTCTCTTCTCTCTTTCGTCTCTCTTTTCTTTGGTTTTTGGTTGCTATCCTCGGCTTCGAATTCAGATGATCAATGGGAAACAAAGAGAAGTACGAGGCTCAATCGAGGCGAGCACTCGTGAATGTATGGAGGGTACGCGACATGTATGGGGCGGTCATTCGCAACTGTGACGGGGGTTGGGCGGGCAGCTGCCTCGTAGGGTCTCAGGCGGCATATGTGGCGTCGCAGCTGGGCACGCAAAAGGTGAAGAACAACCAGATGAACTCAAGGAAAAGGTTTCAAGGGGGGAGAAAGAAAAAGAAAAAGAGCAGCGGGGAAGAGAGAGTGGGGAGAGGAAAATGCCAAATGCGAGAAAAAGGGAACGGGGTCCCTCTGATGTAATAGCTTAGTTGTGTATTTTATATGGTTTTGATATTCAATCTATTATATAGAACAGCCATTTCGCCTTCAAAATACAAGAAATAAAATAAAATAAAGATTTTCCCTTGAACAGATGATTTGCCTTGTTTAGATCGGCTGATCGACATGTTTCTATCCCATGTGGCGGAGAAATTTACCTGGTAAATGAGACTGGAATCAGCCATGGAGATCTATACACATAATGATCTTGATATCTTAAATAGAAGTACCAATCTACCTCTCGAATACTTCAAGACAATTACCCCGCTCCGCCAATGCAAGATGTCACAGCCAAGTTATTTCCCATCGAAAAGACTCGAGATGATGCAAAGTGGCTTTCTCAATAGATCCGAGCGCGTGTGGGACTTGACCCCTTGGCTTATTTACTTTCTATGGGAAAAAGTTAAGACTGGTCCAATGCGTAAACTGAGGGAAAAGGTATAGAAAATTAGATTCTGCCAAATAGCCTCCTTTTGTGACAGTCGCGGGGGGGGGGGGGGGGGGGGGGAAC